TAAGACTTGTTCCCGAGCCCCTTCACCAGCTTCGTTGCCCTTCTTTGGATCTGCTCCAGCACCTCAACATCTTTCCTGTAGTGAGGGACCCAAAACTGAACGCAGTACTCGATGTGCAGCCTCACCAGTGCCAAGTGGAGGCGGATGATCACTTCCCTGCTCCTGCTGGCTACACTGTTGCTGGTACAAGCCAGGATACTACTGGCCTTCTCAGCCACCTGTGCACACTGCTGGCTCATGTTCAACCAGCTGTCAGCCAACACTCCCAGGTCCTTTTCTGCTGTGCAGCTCTCCAGCCACACCTCCCCAAGCCTGTAGTGCTGCATGGGGTTGTTGTGATCCAAGTGCAGGACCCAGCACTTGGCCTTGTTGAACTTCATGCCATTGGCCTCAAACATCAATCCAGCCTATCCAGATCCCTCTGCAGAGCTTTCCTACCCTCAAGCAGATCAACACTACCACCCAACTTGTTGTCATCTGCGAATTTACTGAGGGTGCTCGCAATCCCCTCGTCCAGATCATTGATAAAGATGTTAAACAGAACTGACCCCAGCACTGATCCTTGGGGAACACTGCTAGTGACCGGCATCAAACTGTTCCAGTCAAAATACATTTGTAAAATTGTGTTCACATACATCTTTTGTGAGAATATTAATAATTCTGATTTTCCATAAACAAATACTGTTTGTTCCTTCCACTCTAGATACTGCCTGGTGTAGTCCATGGTTGTTCCTGGGCTACCCCAGTTTGTCATCTACACTGGCACCAGTCTACTCTTTGCATTCCTTTCAACATATCACTAAACAGATTCTAGACTTTTTTATTTGTTTTTTTAATACACCTTCCTCCTCTCTCATTTGTATGCACTGTGTTCAGTTCCTCTTTCTAAGAAGAACTACCTGGAAGTGGAAGATGATTCTCTAACCAGTGGGGACTCCACTCTTTTCTGTCTCGGCTGTGGCAATCCTTAAATGCTGTCTTGTACTCTGTTGTGTCTCTGTGCAAGATCCTGTGAGCAAAATGTGAAAATACAAGCTGCACTCCTGTAAAACATATTTCCACTTCTTTTATTCCTTCTCAAAGGTGTGAGTTTAAAGCACCTTATTTTCCAGTTCCTGAGAAACCAGAAAAAAATGTTTCAGTCTGGTCGTAATGTCCTTCTAATAAAATAGCATGTCCCCTAAGTGACAGGCGGATCATAACATGAACATCTCTTTGCTTACGAAAGCAGACTGCAAGCGTGTTGCAAATTCAGATCTGCAGCTTACCTTTGATGTTGTCACTTGACCAAAAGTTTGTGACTTCAAATTGCTGGTGTTGCCAGATTGTGTAATTACTTTGCAGGCTTTTAGGCCAACATTGAGAAGACAAAAGCGCTGTCCTTTTGCCACCACTTACTGGGAGGTCAGGCAGAAGACACCTGTTGCTTCTTTCATTTAAATTAATCTGAACGTGTATCAGAATTCATATTCACAGTTATACATGTTCTTGGAGGAGACTGTAAAACCAGCATAAGCCCTGGAACATGCAAACCGTAACTTTTCTTCCTGATATCTGAAATCTTGTGCATAATTTCTCTTTTTGTCCATTTGTTACAGATGGGGATTGAAATCAGTTGTTTTTAATCCCCAGCAGTTGTGAGAGTACCTGACTCACAACTGCTTCTGTGCAGCCTTATGGGTGCAGGCAGGAGGATGGCTGATGACAATTAGCCCAGGACTGGTTTGAACCCTTATAGGAGTTGATAGACTTGAAGTTTTTTAATTTATCTGTAGATGACCATGTCCAATTCTGATTTTCTAGAGCACAGAGATTATCCCTTTCTCTGTGTTACAGGCACTGATAGTGCTTTGTAACACCCTGTCAGTCTGTTTATCTAAAGTAAGTTAATTATTCTGATTTTTATGGTAGTCTAGAGCTGCTCACTCTAAATGTAGCTGATGAAAAGATGCTGTGTCAGGATCAATATCTGATTTGTAGAACCTCGTTTGCATCAATGATACTTGATTGTGTCTGTCTATGGCAGGCAGAGCAGGGTTTGAAATGCTGACAAAAGACTCCTGTCAGCCCACTGGTGGAGCCTTGGTAGCTCCTGTGAACATTGGCTTACTGCCATGATTAATTTCTTAACTAAAATACATGGCTCTTGCACCAAGTACTTTTTTTTTGGTTGAGGAAGTAATATAAGTTGATAGCTAATGAAATTGCTTTCCCTCCCCTTTGGTGCTGGAAGTTCAGCATAACTCCAATATCTAAATAAGTAATGCCATGCAAAGACAGAACCTTGTTGGTTTTTTTTTTTTCTTTGATGGGTGAAAGCAAATAAAAGGAAAGCAGAAAATGCTTTGGTGGCAAGTTGAGTAAAAGAGGGGATTTTATTGCTGGTGCCTGTGCTGGGCTAAAAGAACAGAAGGGAAGTGCAAAAAAAGCATCACTGTGGGAGAAACAGTAACTCGTTGTTATGAAAACACTTCTTTGGAAACAGTCTTCTGTTAATGATACTGCAATTAATTAAAAATAAGCCTCAAAATCGCTAGGAGGAAACAAAAAGCTTCTAGTCTTTTGAGAAAATGGTCTTTTTTTTTTTTTTTTTTTAAATTACATTGTATTACAAAGTACCAAAGGGATCTTGTTTCCATTCAGTACTTATCTGAAGCTGCATTTTTAATCTGTTGTTCCTGTTACCTGCATTTCTTTACTTTTATGCATTTAGCTGGGAGAGGGTCATATTAGAAATCAAGAGTTGCCTGTTTGCATTCCTGATAAAAGCAGCAGAAGTTTATAGGAGAAGTGATCCAAAATAATTTGAAGGGTGTGAGGTCAGCCCAGCCTGATAAAGGCATTTATTTTATGTTGCTGGTTACAGAGAATTGTTAACTTGACTCCTTCACCCTGTTGTCATGCTGAAGGAGGGTTTGGCAAATTACAGCTTGGGGAGTTTCTATTCTGGGAACATTTGTATCTCTTTAGTATGTGCAATACATTGTGTATTTTATTTGTCAGATAGTTTTGCAGATATTTGATGCAGATTCTATGAGAAGGAAAAAGACAGCCTTGTGGCTAAAGTACAGGATTGAAAAGAAGAACCATTTAGATTTGTCCCCATGTAGAAAAGGATTTGTTGTGGGACACCTCCAGTACACTGTGCCTCCATTTCCTTTGTTTTTAAAAGGGATACTTCAGTCATTAGTGATGCGGAGGATAAAGTCATTAATGTTTGCATGGTGCCTTGAAATCTTAAAAAGATACATGTGTCTTCTGTATTCTAGTTATTTTATCCTCTAGAAGTACATGGTGAGGAGGTACAGTCATTTAACTTTGATAAGTTAAAATCAGTGCTAATGTATTAGTTCTACATCCTACATTAATCTTACCATATGGTTTGTAGTGGAGAGATGGTAGCAAGGGGGAGTGCAGAATGTCCTCAGGTGCTTTCTAACTTTGCTGACTCCAAAGGACACCTGCCAATGCAAGCTCTAAGTCTTTCCATATGCCTGGGGATGAGCATTGTTAGATAAAAGTACTTCAAGTGATTTCAGGTACTCAGGTGCCTAGTAAAATACAATTTGTTGGTATTTGCAGAACAGCGGTGCAAGTTTAATGTGCCCTTTGTGTCCTTACATTTTGTTATTTTAAATCTTCTGGACTCTTCTTTTACACTAAAATTTGGCACAAATAGTTGCCATACTGAGTGCGGAAGTCCTGTTGTTCTTAGCTCTTAAATGCAGCAACATAACCAGCCTTAACGTCTGTTTTTTCAAGAAATGTTTAAAAGATTGGTGCCAGTCATTAGTAGTGTAAAATTAACATTCACCAGATCTGCAGTTCTATACATGCAAACCTCTACTTTGTATTTCATCACAGGAGAATGTTTTAGACTGTGCTGTGCTGTGTGTGACACCACAGCTTGACATTTGGGGAAGTAACTCTTGTTTCAGTTGTATAGAATTAAAAAACAAAAAACCAAAACCACCCACATAAAACCCCAACCATGGATTGCTTTTTGTTTAAACAACGTTTCAGCAGTGCTTTTATCAGCATCAATGTTTCCATTCTTTTCCTCCCCTCAGGGTGTGATAGCTTTAGAAAACCTGTTGACACAGATGCAGTACGTTACTAGAGGAAACATGTACAACACAAACAAATCTATATTTCTTTCTTTTTCCCGCCTTCTGCCATCTTCTTATTTCCTGTTTTAATATTTCTCATTCTTCCCTTTTGTTGTCTATTTCCTCCTTTTACTTACATAAAGCCTTGAAAATTTGTGGGTGATGGTTGCAAGTTGCCTAAGTTGTGCGTGTGCAGTTCTGTCTTGCATTTTCCTATCATCTGTGTAAGAAAGCCAAGGAGAAAGGACAGTACTTTGTCACCCATCCTTTTTTTGCCATCTCTTGTTCTTTTTTTCTTTTCCCCCCTTTTTTTTTTCTTTTTTTGTTTGTTTGACATCTCCCCAACTGCAGTTCAGACATTTCATTCTGAAGCTCTTAGATCTAGGACACATTATTGTCTGCTGTCCTTATTCATCATTTCCATATGGGTAACAAAGAGAACAGAGGTTTCATACTTTTTAACTGTTGCCACAGTACAGACATTTAGTTTCTGAGGCAAAAGTCTGAGAAGTGTTGGGTGTTTTATGTCTAAGAAATGGCTGCTGTTTGAGAGGGAGAACCAGTAAAGCCAAACTGAAATTCCATGGTGTTACTAAAAAGCAAGATCTGTGAGGAGCATGGGATGCAGTTACAGATTGGAAGAAAAATAATTCATAGAATCGTAGAATCACAGAATCATAGAATGGTTAGGATTGGAAGGGACCTTAAAGATCATCTAGTTCCAACATATCTACTTGCATTTGGCAATCTAGAAAGCTTACGTGTATTAATTTTATAGTTATACTTTTATATACACTTAGCCCCAAAAAAGCCTGAGATGGAGGACTACAGAAATGTTTTGCTTGGTAGTTATGCCTTGGTAAATACCACTTCATAAACATGTGCTGTAGCATGGCTCTTGCTAGGGAATATCCCAAGATTCTGTGTATGTACACTTTATTGTACAGCACTAACTTTGGCAGCAAGTTCATCGACTTCTCTAAGGACACAAAATAGCCTGAGCAAAGTGTGGTCTAAGTAACACAATTGACCTGATGGACCGAATACTGCTTCAACCACACCTTAATCTATATAAACAGGTAAAGTATAGTGTAAGAGCCTGAATTACAGTTACATACTAAAGATACATATATAAAAGTAAACAAACCTACATACTTAAGACTTCAGATATTTAAAAGTAAACAATACAGAACAGTCTGCATAATATATTTCTCCATTGAGTTCAGTGGACTTCAGCAGTTCAGCTAATAAAATTATGTAAGATAGATGTTTCTTCTCCTGTACTTGTCTTATACTTTCTGCTTGGTGATCTTGAAATTACCTTTATTGAATTAAAAAAAAAAAAAAAATGTTTATAAGATGGTTCTTTTGCTGTCTATGCAATTAAATTTGTACCTCGCTGCATTGTTTATCTTTTTTTTTGCTTGGATGCTGCTGATGGTCTCTTCAAAACTGCCCTATTAAAATACATGTTGCCCACTTAGTGGAATTGTAAACACTATAGTTTAAGTGGCTGAACAAAACAACACATCAGTTTTACATTTGATACATTGGACTTGGTAACCATTTGTCATTTTTCTTAAATTTGATTTGATTTGATTTCTGTGCTACTGTATTTTCCTAGTTAGTAATGACTGCAAGTACATATGAGAACATGTTGCAGACATTGATAATTTTCTCTTTATTTTTCCCTTGATTCTGTATCATTTGACAAATATGATATTATTAATAAAAATATATACAACATATATGAGTGCATAGGCATGTATATGACTGAAACTACAACGTTGCCTCAGAAATCAATGGCAATACTGTAGTTGACTTGCATGGTGAGCTATGAAGACCGTGTTAGGTGTGCACAACAGGCAGTTGATCAGCTGGCCCATTTCCTTCAGAACCTGTGCTGCTGGGTTGAGTCTTTTAATGATTTTACTTGACAGGGACATAGCACAGATTTATTCAGCAAGCAGCATTAAGGGTTAAGGAAAGAAATTTACTTGGATTCGAGGGCTGTATGTGTATGCTGTGTTTAGAAGGCATGACACCAATACTGTTTATTTTTTCTTTTTTAGGGCAGGTTAAAGTGTTCAGGGCCCTGTATACATTTGAGCCCAGAACGGTAAGTACATCTAGCTTTTAGGGGTTTGAGAAGCTTAATTTTAATCTTGTCTATAATATCATTTGTTCAGTTCTGCTAGGGTTAGCCTATTAGACTTACTATACTGTTTTCAGTGAAAAAGCCTGTTGATGGGTACCAGTTCTTAATGTGACTAAAACTGCCTGATTAATCATCACTTTCATGTTTTAAGTCCAGCTCTTTTTAAAAGCAAGCAGCATGCTTTCTTCTCTAGTACCAGGTATCTGCAATCTAAGATCAGCAATCTAAGTGATTTTTTTCTTTTCTTCTAAGGGCAACAAAGATAATTGGGAACTAAGGGATCTGATGAACTGGGACCAACCAAAAAGGGGATGAAGTGAACAAACACAAGATGTATTTCACTGCTTTTGTTGCACAGTGCTGTGTTGGAAAGGCTGTGGTCTTTTCTTTACTTGTGAGGAAGGTCACAGATCCAAAAAGTTACCTGTAGGCAAGTCAAACTACAGTATGAAAGACTGCCAGGCTGTTGTCTAGTTGCTAGATAATTTGTCTTACTGTACTTTCGAAAGAAGAACTGAATGCACTCTGCTTTATCTAAGTATTTGTTTTACCTCAGTACACACGTTCAGATTTTTGTTCACTCTTCTCCCCTGCCCCTGCCCCCCCCTTTTTTTTTAAAGCCAGATGAACTGTACTTTGAAGAGGGAGATATCATTTACATCTCAGACATGGTAAGTCTAAGATGTCCCATACAGACTGAATACTTCTGAGATGCAGTATATCCGTTCTAAAATATTTTCCTTTTTCTCTGCAGAGTGATACAAATTGGTGGAAAGGAACTTGCAAAGGGAGAACTGGACTAATTCCAAGCAACTATGGTAATGTCTAGATTCTATTTTCATTTGGTAATATAATTCACAATCAAAGGAAGTCACTAAATAAGAATAACTGATACACTTATTTTCAAAAACTAATCACAGTATTGATATTCAACAGTCATATTTACCAGGATATTTCAGAATACATATGCAATATCAGTCAGCACTGTACATCAGTGTTTCTGGTTGTACAGGTAACAACAATCGATATTCTCAGTTTTCAGGGGAAGAACACTTAGATCTAAAGGATGGTTTTACCAACGGCACATGAAACTGATGGGCTTGTATTCTTCATACCTCAATTAATGTACTGCAGTTTTTAAGATCTTCTCATTAGCAGTGTTTTGGCTGTATTCCTTCACTGAATAGAAATTGTTTTTTCAGATTCAACTAGAATCACTTTGAAAAGCCATGAGTACAGACAACACTGCACAATTCTTCCAAGTCCTCCCAGGAAATGGAGGCAGAGTAACAGTGTCACATGACAGATTGCATCAAAACTGGCAGCACGTTAGTAACTGTGGTTGCTTCATGTCCCTTCCTCACCAGGAGACATTATAGTAGCAATGCTATAATTCCCTGCTGTGACTTGTAGTTGTCAGAAATACATGAACAGAAGCCTACAGTGCAATTATTGAGATCATGGCATCAAATTTCACATCAAATTTGTGACTTCCAGACTGATTCTTCTCTTGCCATTTGCCAGAGGTTGTCACTTTTATAGACAAGAAGAACAGTTTATACATGCTTGCCTACACTCACATTTCTTTGGAGCATTCAAGTATGTTATATTTAAAATAAAACCAACAATTTAGTAGTTCAGTTTTTTTTCCCATTGTGGTCATTTGGAAAAGTTGCTTTACTGAAAAGTTATCTGAGCAGCAGTTTAACTTCCATTGTAGGCCAGGCAGGGAGGTGTGGGGTAGTGGTATCTCTGTCTGCACAAAATTAACAAAAATTTCATGTGTAAGCCAATAGAAGCCTCTGCAGATCCTTAGAATGAAGAGTACCAGAAACATGTCTTCTGGTTCAGACAAACTGTGCAAAATCTCCAAAGGCCTGCTTCTTGCTTGTTGCCACCATTAGGACTGCCTGGGTTCTGTCTTAACCATTGAAACACGGTGATCTCCCATGCTCTTCTACAAACTGCAAAAGGTAGAGACAGACCTGAAAATACTGTCTCTGGTGGGGTCTTGTGCTCCATCTGCTGGGCTTGAAGGAACACATTTGAAAAGACTGTGAATGAAAAAGCTGATGAAGACAGGATCAGTGTTATCTACACTGAAAATACTTATTACCGAACTTCTGACAAGGATTTTCTAAAGACAAAGTTACTTTTAGGCTTTTGAGACAGTGTTGTTGGTGTTAATGCTTTCTGCTGCACAACAAGCTCTGCTCAATATGACTACTATGTTCTGCTTGTGTAATGACTGTCTGCTCTGGAACTGGCTGCTTTTTCTGCTTTAGGATTCTGTTCAGGGTACAAATTTTTTAAACTGAAATATCAGAATCTAGCATTTGCATTTTATTTTCCCCACAGCTAGAGAGATAAACATGTGAAATCTTGCAATTATAGGCATTATGTGAGGGATACACACCGAAGTACGGTAAGATCTGGATAGGACGCAACAATCTTGAGACTTTTATTTCTGGCAACTGATGTACATTATATTTGCTTGCATTGCATCTGATTACAGTAGCAGTTTGATCTAAGGAGCACCCTTTCACATTCTCCCTGTCTCCTGTAACAAGTTATAGTGCAAGAGCTTAGAGAGCCTACTCATCTCAGATTGTACACTGTCCTACTTGCCTATACCCTTAGTAGTCACAGGGTTTTCCACCTAAAAATGTTGTTAAAAAAGTTTCCAGATCATGGTCCCATGTCCCACTGTTTCACAGTTCTGTTCTTTTTTTTTTTTTTTTTCCCTGTTGCAATGGCCCAGAGAACAGAAAGTATTTGCTGCTCCTCTCTAGTAAAACCTAAAGGTTGTGAGATGAAGAAAAGGTCCACAGAAGCCTGAACTTCAGTCTGTGCATCACTGCATTCATTGTAACAGTTTTGTTTTCAAAATCTCCACCAAGTTTTCCAGGGAAAATAAATAAATAAATAAAAAATCTCTGTAAAACAAATAGGAAGCCTATTGACAGTGGATTTTTTCATTTACCCTTCACAGATCTCTTGAAAATAGTTTTACTCATAAGTACAGATGGCAAGGTGTAGGTTGAAAGCATAGCCACATGCAACTGCTCAAACCATCTCACAGTTGTGGAATGGGAAGTAACAACCAAGATGAAATACTACCAGATTCCCAGTGGCTTGCAACCACTGATGAACTCGTTACTGTTCTTTGAAGTTTTCACAAGCTCTTCTCTTAACTGCTTTCCTATACACAGGAAATTAAAGTGCATCTCACTAGTCCATCGCTTGCAAATCCCCTTTCACATTGGAATCTAATATGTATTACTAGTTCTTCTGGAATAAATCAAGGTTTTATTTCCACACAAGTATCAAATATATGTTCAGTTTCAGAAGTAGTTAGAATTTAATCTCTGTTTCATTTCAGTGGCAGAGCAAGCTGAGTCTATTGATAACCCACTGCATGAAGCTGCCAAACGTGGTAAGCGTGATTTGGGTTTTAGTTGTGTAGCCTGGTAGAATTGTGACTTTGCTTGTTTACACAACAAAAGAGTTTGGTACCATTTAACTACATAGGGATTGAAAGGTCTTCTGGGAGTGGAAGAAAATATGTTTGATATGACTTGGACTAGTTGTTTTATGAATTACAAGTGTTGCTGCTTATCCCTTTTTTTCCTTCTAAGTTCATAGGAGGACTGACACCCTTCAGAAAGGACTGTGTGCCTTTAATGGTTCTTTTAACTTTCCAAAGGGGAAAAAAAACCATCAAAGATGAATTTGTCTTTCAGGCAACCTAAGCTGGCTGAGAGAATGTTTGGAAAATCGAGTTGGGGTCAATGGCTTAGACAAAGCTGGAAACACAGCTCTGTACTGGGCATGCCATGGAGGTCACAAAGGTATCACAGAATTAATTTGAAATGACCGTTCTCTGGTTTTCTTGATTTGCTTGTTAGACTGATTGCTAAAATTGCAGTACTAAATAATAAAGCCAAGATTTTTTAAATGCCATTCTGTTTTTTTTAGAAGAAAAGGTAAAGCTAGAAGAGACGTTCAGCTCCATCCAATGGTGTCTGTTTAGTTGTGCTGTTGAAGCAGGCATTCTAATCAGCCTGTTAGAAGCAAAGTGGGAAGAAGGACAGACCAAAAATAAGTGTTGTATTGTTTTGGATATTTTATGCAGTAGCATTTCTTTGTGATTAATGGTTGTTTCCTCAGTGCAGTTTGAATGTTAGAGATTTTCATTGAATCCAAACCGAAATTTATACTAGGAATGCAAAAAAGCCCGTTTTATTTCCACTAATTTTTTCTCTTTATCCTTGCCCTCTGCTGTTTTCTGCAGATATAGTGGATGTTCTGTTTACCCAGGCAAACCTAGAGTTAAACCAACAGGTAGGTTAAACCAAGAGACTTTACAGTGGAGGTGTGATATTATTCATCCTTGGTACAAGCTGAAAGTTTTTTTGCTGTATTTTAATCCTGTTGCTTTTCCCTCTAACTCCACAGAACAAATTGGGAGACACAGCTTTGCATGCTGCTGCATGGAAGGGTTATGCAGATATTGTAGAGATGCTGCTGGCAAAGGGTAAAGATCTTCACCAAGGTTTCAACAATCTGTGTGGCAGACTAGATTCCTGAATGTTTATTAATCAGTATTTTTTTTTAACTTTTCCTATAACCCAGATACAGTCCTTAGCCAGCTTATCTGCCTGACTTTATAAGCCTTGCAGAAAATTCTGGCTGCTGTTTGAAAAGTAGATGTCTCACCTGCTCAAGATAAATTTCATCCTGCTTTGCAGACAAAATTAGGCACTTAACCCCGGAACAGCAATAACATCTGCTTCCTGGAAAGGGAGAGCAGCCAGCGAGTTCCCTAGCCAACTGTAGCTTATGGAAGAACTTCTGTAACTTCTAGTCTGCTTCAGAACAGTCCACAGATGAGATTCCCTTGTCCATTACTGTTCTACCCTGCTACTGAAACTTGTATCCTAATACCATTGCTCAAGAAATAGCTGGGACAGTGATTAATGGTGAAAATTTTCTATTATACAGGGGCAAGAACAGATCTGAAGAACAATGAGAAGAAACTGGCTTTAGATATGGCAACCAATGCAGCTTGCGCTTCCATGCTTAAGAAGAAACAGAGTGCAGGTATTTCTGATTTTGTTATTCTGATATATTTTTCCTTTTTAGAGGACACTTAATATTTTGACCCAATATGAATATGTTGATAGCCATAAAAAACAGTTGGGAGCCACACGGACTAAGGTTTGTGTTTGGAAGGTTTCACTTGCGAGGGTTAGTTCAGCGGGGCTGTGATAGAGACTTGTGGTTTGTCAGATTCAGTCTTGCTGTCTCCACACAAAATGCCATCTTGTGTCAGCAAGAGGCAAAAGAGTTCAGAAGATGTGAAAGTAGTAAGGGAAAGGAAGGGAATAGAAGCCAGGCCTTTCAGAACGGAGAGACAGAAAGCAAGCAAGGATGGAAACTACTTTGAAAACAGTATGCCACATGGGACAGGGTATGAAAGTATGGTATGTTCCCCCTTATGCCTATCTGTTCCTCCAAACTAAGCAAAACAAACACCAAAGATACACTCCTTCTTATTTCTAATTGCTCATTTTAAAAAATTTCTTATTCCTGTGTCCTTCTGAGTGACTCTCTAATGGAGAAATAAAGAAAGAATGCTTTCAGGTATTTATCAAAATAGTCTCGCTGCCTCCCACTTGCGTTCATCTCTCCTAATAGCACAGTGCTCATGTACAAAAGAGTTAAAAAGATACAAGGCTATTTTTTAAAGCTGAACAAAGGCTGAATTGCTCGGTGTCACATAATTAATGTTACCTGTAGCTTTCAGGAGGTTGAAGTTAGGATGGAAACTCTAGGCAAATAACACATGAAATGAGAAGTGACTTATAAACACAGGCAGCGTTACAGCTTGTATCAGTGCTACATGCAATCCAGCAACTATGTCATCACAGGGTGACGAACCTGTAGGTCATTAGCAGTTATGGGAATTAAATGGTGAAATTGCTGACTGCAGCTTTAGAAGGCCAAGAAGAGCAGTTGCAGCAAAAATACCATTCAGCTTTTTTCATTAGGTAATATCAGGATTTCCCAGAAAACCCTGACAAGTTATTCCCATCAGTTTTGACTCTGAAGATAGCCTTTGTAACAAAGGGCAGAATTTCTTCTGATTCCGTATTTTTTTCTGTTGTAAATTAATCCCTGTTAGGAACACTTATTTCATCTTTTGTCTAACAACTGTAGGCACCTGGTACAGGAGTATTCTCTGTTGTAATGTCCTTAATTATTGCATTAATGTTTAATTTCTGATACTAAGTAACTTACCTTCTACTTATGGTGCATTTGCTTCATTCCCTCTAAATTAGTTCTGTTTCATGGCTGACTGATTTTTCATTGTTAGTCACTTTATCTATAACCTGCCTCTGGTACTCTCACACACTATCTTTTCTTGTTTGCTTTAATATAAGAGCTGATGTTCTCATTCCTAACTGCAACTCCAATATTAGTTTCCTTGTTTGTGTTTCTCTCTTAATTTGGCATTTTATAATCTTTTTGACACCACTGATCTGTGTACTTTTCTTCTGATTTGTTTTTTCTTGGTTAATTTTATTGGTTTCATTCTTCTGTGTCTATTGATTCTACATTTCATTATTTCCAATGTCTGTGAGTGAAACAGTTGTTCTTTTTCAGGTATTCAGTCCTGTATCAGTCTTCCTGTCCCTAGTTTCAAATCTGTTCCTATTTAGATACGGCTTCTATCATAGTCCATCTATAAAACATCTGATTTATGCAAGGAAGCTTACTTTGCCTTCACTTAGATGTTCAGTTCTGTGTTTTCATAGAATCATAGAATGGTTTG